TGGTCGCGCGTGTCATGCAGTGTGAGCACCGCACAAATCCCCGACGACGTTGCTTAGAAGCTCGGTGTTGCGGTACTGAGATCGGGGTTGCGGATTCGGTTCCCAGCTCAGGCGGCCGCAAATGTGTATGGGGGCCAAATGCTGAAACGCTCATGTCCTTATGTTTAGGTAAATGTTAGAAACATCAGGTGCCGAAATTGATTCCACGGCTGCCACTGGGGTTTTTCCTATTATTATAACACGGTACAAAATAAATTTAATTTAAAATTCAGATCAGTATTATTATCTTCTGTGACCGAATTATGGCTAAAGAGTATTCTTGCTAATGATGGCTTCAGCGACTAGTTTATGTTGCTGGTCTCAAAAAAAGTTTTCAGCTAACTCACCTAAACTGTTTCTAGGTGCTTCAGATGATTCACTTGAAAGAGAACTAGAAGGACGACTGCCAGTTGGGCATGTTGGTTTAGGTTTATGATAAAACAAGCGATTGATTTATTGATATGTGGAGTTTAACGTCCCAAAATCACAATATGATTATGAGAGACACCGTAGTGGAGGGCTCCGGAAATTTCGGCCACCTGGTGTTCGTGCACTCAAATCTGAGCGAACGGGCCTACAACATTTCCCCCTCCATCGGAAATACAGCCGCCAATGCCGGCATTCAATCCCGCGAACTGCGGATCAGCAGCCGAGTACCTTAGCCACTAGACCACCACGACGGGGCATGATAAAACAAGCGAAAAAATGTACGATGGTTTAGAAAGGACACAGGACAGAGCACTTATTAGCAAGTGAAAATTTTTATTTCAGAAGGAACACTCCTATGTATATTGATAACACGCAGGCATGCCACCAGAAACCACCCCAACTATCACCAACAGCATGAAACACTGAAATATCATTCCCATAACTGATGGCATACAATCGGAAAAACACGTGTTAAGCCCCCCCCCCCCCCCAAATAAACAAGATTAAGAAATGCACCCAGTCATGTTACGCCAAAAAGCAAATCCAGAATCTGTTAGCAGAACGGACAGCTTGCTGACGCACTTTTCAGCTGCTTTCTTAATTCGAAACGCTCACATTATTTCTTTCGTCGTCCGCTTCTTGTGCTGGTCAATAATTTCTGCGTCAGAAAGTTTTCGCTGGCAAGTGCATTTCTTACATTGCAGCGATAAGTGCGAGTACGAGGCCCCCTTAGTGAACTCTCATGTTCACCAAGGAGCACATTTAGGCAATGACCTGTTTGACCGGCGTATTCCTTTGCACATGTGAAAGGAACTGCGTTCACATCTTTTTTTTTTTGCACTCAATATACCTCTCACCATGTTTTATGTTACATCCGTTTGTTTCGCCCATGCTTTTGTTTTTGGCTAATCTTTTTTCTGCCGCGCAAATCTTCGAGAATTTCTTTTGGGCTGAAAAAGCAACCAGCACCCCATATCTTAATACGACTTTTTCAAACGATGTGAAATGTTATGCAGATGCGAGATAACCTCTGTCTGTCCGCTTTTTTTTTCACCCTCAACTTGTCTGTCCCCTTTTAATGTGCTGATTATTGTCTTCTTCACTTTTCGGCGATTCTTTTTGAGGGAAGCTGGTTATTCGGGCAACTGTCTCCTATTGACTTGTGAAAATAATCGCCGAGAAGTAATAACAATAATCAGCACATGAGAAGGGGAGAGAAAAGCTGAGAGTAAAAAAAGAGCAGACAGTGGTCATCCTGCATCTGCATAACATTTCACATCTGTTGAAGAAAGTTCAATTAGGTATGTGTTGCTGGTTGTTTTTTCTTCAGCTAAAAGCGAATTGTAGAAAAGTTGTCCGGCATTGGAAAGGTGAGGCAAAATAGGAAACAGATGGATGTAACATAAAACATGGTGGGAGGTATACTGAGTGCCAAAAAAAATATGTGAACACAGTTTCTTTCACTTGTGCGAAAGAATACGCCGGTAAAAAAGGTTGTTGTCTAAATGTGCGTTTTCGTGAAAAGGATAGTTCACGAAGTGGGCCTCGTACTCAGACTTAGCGATGCAATGTAAGAAATGCACTTGCCAGCCAAAACTTTCTGACGCAGAAATTATTGACAAGCACAAGAAGCGGACGACGAAATGAAAGAAATAATGTGAGCGTCTCGAATTAAGAAAGCAGCTGACAAGTGCGTCCGCCAGGCGTCTGTTCTGCTAACAAATTATGAATTTACTTTTTTGGCGTAACATTACTGGGTGCATTTCTTTATCTTGTTTTTTTCTTGGGGGGGGGGGGGGGGGGTGCTTAACACGTGTTTTTCCGGTTCTATGCCATCGGTTATGCAAATAGTGTTTTCTTGTTTCACGCTGTTGGTGATATTAGGGTAGGTTTTTGGTGACACGCATGCATGTTATATAAGAGTCTTTTTGTGTAATAAAAATTTTCAGTTGCTATTAGGCGCTCCGTAGTGTGTACTTTATAACTCTTCATATTTATTGGCGCTTGTTTCATCAAGAGCTAGAAGTTTTTTTTTTAATATGGATAAGTGGCATATATATATACAATAATTATATGATTATACAATGAACTGTAATTTTAACACTGCGCCCCGCCGTGGTGGTCTAGTGGCTAAGGCACTCGGCTGCTGACCCGTAGGTCGCGGTATCAAATCTCGGCTGCGGCAGCTGCATTTCCGATGGAGGCGGAAATGTTGTAGGCCCGTGTGCTCAGATTTGGGTGCACGTTAAAGAGCCTGAGGTGGTCGAAATTGCTCGGGCCCTCCACTACGGCGTCTCTCATAATCATATAGTGGTGTTGGGACGTTAAACCCCACTTATCAATCAAATTTGAGAACTGCACGTTGATAAAACGAAAATATCAACAGTCAGAACAGTATTCCTTCGTACAACATGTATTCGTACAACATGTATGACCAGTATTACGTGTACTTAGTGTAGAGGACGTATTAAAAACATAAATAAGCTTTAAGGAAACTCTGAGCTACCTAACGCAGTTTCACAATTATTATAGCTTTGATACGTACTTCTAAACTTATTGAAGCATGCAGCCCATGGCAACTATCCATTAGGTTGGAATAAAATCTTGTGAAATTAAAAAAATAATGCTCTGGAGGAAGTATTTACAGATAGTCATTGTTTTTCTTCATCGGGCGCTGCATAAATTCTTCAGGAGTGAGGATTATTGAGAACCACATGGTTCAATTGTGTATGTTGAGAGACAGGCACTTTTAGTGACTATTTCTTGCTGTAGTTGATGCAACAAAGGAATCCATGCACATTCTCACACATCTGTATGCTGAGTTGGCACTACCCGCAAATCATGATACTCGGACAGTTCATCAGACCACATATTGATCGAATGCCCGCTATAATTTGACCAGTTCAAAATATTTTCTAATTTGACATCTTGTAGAGGCGTCCTTAAGTAATAAGTAAAATGTTTCGGCCATGGTACTGCCTAGCTAAAAAATTGAGCAGCTGCGAATGTCTTTAACGAAGTTCTGGTGAACTTTGCTGTTACTACAAGTAATTTTTTTTTGAAATCTTACTACATAACGGGCAACTTTTCAAATCTTTCGTGCATGGCTGTTGAGCTTTTTATGAAACATTATAGAGTCTAATATAGTTTTCTTCACATGTTATGCAGCGGTCATTGTGCTATGTAAAATGGCGACAGTATCCTTATAAGATATTCTACCGCGAAACAAAATCTAAGCGTGGGTATGTCAGTTGAAATCAAGTGGTACATTTACTGGCGTGGACAAGTACAATGTATTGATGCTGTGCTACGTTGTTCAGCTGGGCTTGGGTAAATTACTAGTTTTTCGTTTTGACGTGCCAAAGCCTTTCCTATTGCCACTGCAAGCCATCAGAATTTCAGAATTTTAATATGAGTGGTATGAGAGCTGTTATGTGATCACAAGAGTCGCATGTGCCGTAGTTATCTACCACCGCTGCCACCGGTGTCCGTAACCACTACCGCACAAATTAATAAAAAAGCTGAGTATATGAAAACACCAAGAACACAATGACATCCAAACTAGGGACCCCTGTGTGCCAGCCAAATATTCTACCAAAGAGCCACGCCGGTTCTTGGAGCTCTGATATATGGGGTTTAACATCCCAAAACCACCATAAGATTATGAGAGACGCCGTAGTGCTGGGCTCCGGAAATTTGAGCACCCAAATCTGAGGGCACCCAAATCTGAGCACACGGGCCTACAACGTTTCCGCCTCCATCGGAAATGCAGCCGCCGCCACCGGAATTCAATCCCGCGACCTGCAGGTCAGCAATCGGATACCTTAGCCACTAGAACACCGTGGCGGGGCTTCTTGGAACTCTGCTGCAAATTGATCATATAGGCATGCTTGATATCGGGAAACGATTGCCGCCCATGTTTTCGGAACAGCAAATCAACAACCAGGCGTCACAGTATGCAAATTGCCTAACGAGCAGGTCTTCGAATCCTGCAACCTATTACTAAAGCTTCAGGCATAATTCTTTGTCGTTGTCAGCCACATCAAAAAAAAAAAAAACTGCACAACATTAGTTGCGTGTAGCGGGTACAATGCTTCTGTGAAGAATGAAACAGGATGGCATACTGAATGCCTCGCTACTACACAAAATGTACAATGATTAATGGCATCGTGGGTACCCTGCCAGTGTGCTCGTAGCAAATACCTAAAGTGTGTTTTCAAAAGGCTCTGAAAGACCGTTTTTCCAGCTTTCGCTGTGATAGTATTATACGTTTTGCGCAAGTCTGGTAACTTTTTTCTTTCGCTGTAACTTTTAAGAATTAAATATGAAGTGATGATTCCACTGTTTGATGTTGCTGCTCAAACTTGTATCTCATTGTAAGGCCCTCACTACTTGCAATCGTTCAGCTAAAGCTGGCTTTGGTTGATAAATAGCCAAGAAGCGCTTCAAACGCTACGATAAAATTCGGACAGACTGGTAATGTCTGCAGGACTTACCTCTCTATTCTTATAACAAGCGATCAACGACCCAAAAGCGGCAATATGTTATTTTTATTAGCTTGTACACAGAAGTTCAAAAGCAGTGTTGTTCTCTTGAAGGCATACGTACTGTCCGAAAAAGTGACCGGACGTTACGAGACAGATATGATGGAGACGTAGAGTTAATACAAACACACATGTTGGCTTCCCATGCATGCTTCTTCAGGAGCAGCATGACTTGCGTCACAAAGAATCCGTGTCCTGGCGTTCAACGTGTGTTTTCCTGAAATTACACAAAAAAAACTTTTGTAAGTACTGTACTGGCGTCTAAAGCTGAAATCGCAATCTCAGCCTGGCTGTCCGCCGATCTCGTTTGCATGCGCACTTGTGCCTCCTGAATTTGTGCGCGTGTACTAAACCCATATCTGCTGGTTAAACAAGGACACTTACAGACACAACGGGTGATGGGCAGCAGCCTTTCAACAAGAAGTTAATAACTGCTTTGGCCGTAGCCATAAGCTCACTGACCTTTAGCCCAATTTTGTTTTTCCCCAAGCAGAAGCAATCAAAAGAGCACGCCCACTCTGCGTTGACCAGAAATGGAGCCTGTATTCATGAGAACGTTGAGACGGAGTTTTAGTTTTCGTAAAAACAGTGAAAAAACTACACAACGCTTTGATGTTTTTTTCTTTGAATACAGGTTAAGCTGTGCGAAGAAGACAACTCGTTAGAAACATGGAACACACACGCACACTCGCTCACAAACACACACACACAAAGCACAGGCTTGTGTTTCATATTTCCACACGATTACATTAACGTCTTGATGTCTTTGCACTCCCTTCGAGAAGTTGCGTGAAATGCCTCCAGGGCTTTTATTAACGCCCGGATGTTATTAAAACGTGCCTTACCGCTCCTCGTGGTCGGTGTGTAGGGGCGTCGGAGGACAGACGTTCACCCGCGGCACATGCGGCTCGGCGTAGTGCCGGCTCAGCTCGCGAACTAGTGCGGGCCGAGGCACCACTGGATACGGCAGGGCAACGTCCAGTAGTGGCAGCGTCTCGCGAGGGCACCGGTCATCCGAGTCACCGCCCTCAGTGACACTTCGGCTTCCCTCGCGTTCCTCGTCCTTCTCTTCTGCATGGACCGCAGGGGGTGACATTCTCGCACGCCGTCTTCTTTGGCTCATGTTACCGTAAACAGAAATAAGCCATTATATTGCAGCATGCCTCAGTCGCTCCACACGGCGCATGATTCTCTTTCCAGCTGGGCTCGCCTTGCTTTAATCTACCTTTTTGAGGCATGAAGCCGTGTAGCACATTTGATATGTTTTGGACGTTACGGGGTGAAGACTTTCTGGCCATTCACTCTTCCATTCGAAAGGCACGGAGAAAGAGAGTTCTTTATTACGAGCCATTGTAAGCATCTGATGAGAAGTTGTGCTTTGTATTAAAACATATTTCACATAGGAACAGGTCGCACTCTGCCGCTCTACATAATAGAATTTGGACATTGTTTAGCCACAAGAAAATGTCCAGCTGCCTCTACTTCTTTTTCGGTCATGTGCAATATAACCCCTAGCTTGCTAATCATGGATTGCCAGTGAATAACTTCACCCACGTAAAACGTTTTTATCGCACGTTTGAAAGCCTGCCAAACATGCTTCCTTCCTCCCCATGGCCGCTGAAATGATTAACTTGCGTTGTTTTCTCACCGCTTTCCTTTCTTTTCTTGAAGGTCTGGGTGTCTCCAAGGCGGAGTTTCTCGATGGACTTCAAGAGAGGCTTTGGCGTTCTGTCCAAAAGGATAACACACAAACTGCTCTGTACAACAAAAACTTGCCTTCATTTGGCTTCATGGATGCAATAAGTGCTTATGGGCACAAAGTATCTAATAAGTAATCACCGACGAAGATGGCAAACACCAGGGAGTGGGGATATATCATAAAACAAACAACACTAATGTTGAGACGAGACGCAAAAGAAAAAGCCAACAAGCCTCACGCATTATTCGTTTCTTCCTGTGTGTCTGGTCTCGATTTTTACGCTTTTTGTGCCTGCGTGTACGATGAATACATACTAACTGGCCCAGCTAACTATACAATACGGATATTATGAGCTTCAAATACAAACATCTTTGTAAAATATGCATTCATGCTGGCGATAATTTAGGTGCCCATAGACTGGTGAGGAAAGCAGCCTGAAATACGCACCCGTTCCTGCATTTTCTTTTCACACTCATTTATCAAGTTTTTCGGAGGACATTAACGCTGTTAGTATGAATTCATAGGCTAAGCAAACTTCTTAAGTAACTGCATTTTCTCCCTTAAACTCGTTGTAATCCAATAGGCATCTACTGTTTATTATCCCTCAGACTCTCAAACGTTATAAGAGCGAATTTGTTTAATTACAATATATTTTGTGGCTTAACATCACAAAACCACGATATTATTATGCGAGACGCCGTAGTGGAGGGCTCCGAAAATTTCGACGACCCGGGGTTCTTTAACGTGCACCTAAATCTAGGCACACGGACCTCAAGAATTTTTTCGCTTCTATCGAAAATGCAGCCGTCGTGGCCGGGACTCGATCTCGTAACATGCGGTGCAGTCAAGCACCATGACCACTATAGGCCACCGTAGATGATTGGGCGCAGCTCTATAAGCTCGGCAAAGCCCCGATTTCTCTTCGCGAAAACTATCATCCTCATGCCAGCGTGCACTATGCCGTTGCATTCTTTTGGCCGGTGTGGGATGTAATAACTCGGATGGGTGAGAAAATAAGTGCACAGAGAAAGAAAAAGAGGGCGAATGAGATAGAAAGGAGATAGAAAAAAATATATAAAGAGCTGACGGAGAGAAAAGGACAAACAGAAGAAAAGACAGAAAAACACAGATCATGAGATAAAGAAAAAGGAAGAGAAATAGAGAAGGATAAACAAAAAAATAGAGAAAGAAAGAGCGTAGGATGGAAAGAAAAATGAAGCTAGAAATCGAGCGAGGGGTGAAACAAAAGAAAAAAAATGAAGAAAAACATAAAGAGAGTGAGAAAGAGATAGATCTATCAAAAAACAAACAAGTAGAAACGAAAAAATGTGGCTGATTTTTCTTTCTAAGACTCGGTAAAACATAAAGTAAGACATGTCTTCCCAGAGGTAGTGAAGCGTTCATTGTGCATTGTTTCACCAGAAGGCGGAAGGAATGAATGCTATAGCAACAAAATGCAATGTCACGCGAAGAACGGCAAGCAGAACCAGTGCGAAGCTTGCAGCACACACCCCAAGCAGAAAGCACGCATGAAATGAGCATATACAAGACGCAGCGTAGACTAACAATTGTCACAGCTCGACACTTAAAACACGTTGTATGAACAGAAAGAAAGAGGCTGGAAACGAACGCACACGTATACGCAGAACAAGCGCGAACAACTGTCACAATTTTTAGTTCGTGTATGAGCAGCGTGCTTCCAGTCTTATATACGGCCGCGGTAGCGAGTGAAGTGACCTTCGTGCTCCCTTGAAACACAAGTCTGATAAGCGCGCGTGCAGGAGAGACCACGTCAGCACACTCCGTCCACGCTCTCCGAAATGCGAGAGGCGACGACTGTTATAAGGGGCACAGCTACTCTTAGTCTAACCTTGTCCTACGTGTGGCGTAACTGAGAAAAGAAGAGACGAGAAAAAAAAGGAAGACAGTATCTCTCAAACAGTATAATAGATAGTGCTGTCTCATAGAAGTACATACAGACTGCCGTTGAGTAAGGATATTCTAGATGACGTTGTACCACTACTCTCTGATTGGCTGCTGCGCGGGTTGTGCCTGGGTGCGCGAGGAAGGAGTGCCTTCCTCAGTCTACTAGATAGGCACCATACATGGCGCATCATTGGTGGGGCATGGACGAAGCAGAGTGGCGGGTGCGTTAAAGATGCTTGCGCTCGGCTTCCTTGGCTCGCGTCTGGTCGGTGTTACCCATGTGCGTCTGCATTCGCGAACGCGACCGGACAACTGGACGCATGCACGAGTCGACGGACACACGGATGGATGGATAGATGAACACACGCACAGACAGACAGACAGGCAGACAGACAGACAGACAGACAGACAGACAGACAGACAGACAGACAGACAGACAGACAGACAGACAGACAGGCAGGCAGACAGACAGACAGACAGATGAATAGACAGACGGACGGACTGACGGATGGACGTACGGACGCACAGACCAACACATGGATGGGCGCACAGGCGGACAAAAGCTGAGATGAACGTACAAACGCTTCGCCTCATCAATCGTCATTTGCTCCGTGGATATGCTGTGACTTTTTAGGCACCTTACTCAACGCGCGCTCTTCGCGTCATCTTCCTACTGATGACGAAAATGCTCTGAAACTGCGAAACTCTGAAAAGTGCCAGATGGTAGTATATGGTTTGCCGTTAACGCTCTTGACTGCGTGGCGAAGTGGTTAGCGTCGAGTGTCAGCTGCTGTTCGAAAGGGCGCTAGTTCGATGCTCCGCTGCAGAGATTTCGCATATTGGTTTTACGGGCGAAGCTTTTCTTAGTCTAACCTTGTCAATGGTCACGCGTAATGGAGAAAAGAAGAGACGAGAAAGAAAAGAAGGCGAAAGAAATAGATCACAATTTCTCGTCTCATTTTCTAGATTGCGTTACTGTGCTGCTACTCTCCGAAGTGCCCCTACTGTACGATTGGCTGCTGCGCGCGCTTTGCCTGAGTGCGCGGAGAACGAGTGCCTCTCTCAGCCTTCTCGATAGTCGCTGTACGTTGCGGATTGTTGGTGGGGCATGGACGAAGCGGAGCGGCGTGCCTGTTGAAGGCGCTTTCGCTCGGATTCCTTGGCTCACGTCTCGTCAGTGCTACTGGCGTGCAGTCTGCATTTTCGAACGCGATCGGACGCATGGATGCCTGCACGGACAGATAGACGGACGGACGCTTCGCCACACGTATCACCATTCACTCCTTGGATATGCTGTGATTTTTTTCTTCGCGATCTGTTATATATATTTAACATCATATTTGTGACTGAAATATGTCAGCGGAGCCGAGGTGGAGCCCGGCATAAAAAACATCGGGCTAAAAACGTAAAAAAAAAGATAGGAAGACAAGAAGGTAGGCAGCCTGGAAATAGAAAAAAGGCCGTCTAGATCTGTTTTTCTAGCCATATGCCAGCAAGCTGCTTCAATTTTCTCTATATCCGCTTTGCATAGAGAATGTAATTCGTTGTATATACTTCCCTTACCCATTTCGTGATGGCTAAAGTTATAAGCGCTGCTACTCATACCCATCTCTGAAGGCCATGGAGAGTTCCAGTATGTCAGATCAGTGGAAGTGTTCATAATTGTTTTCAAGATAGCCTTGAAGCACTGATAATACAGTGAGTAATGTAAAAATTCACTATCTGCTTTCTTCAGTTCAATCTACGGATACTTCATCTGTGGATTAACACCAACTGACCCTTGTATTATTCCACCTCAGTTTTAGTGAGATTCGATTGCTTCCCGGGTTGTAATGATTTCGCCCTCTCTTCTATAAAAGAGGTGGTTGCTACAAGCTAATGATTATGAAAAGTGGGCAATTA